CCTGCGTAAACTGCATGTGATGAACGTTCGCGGTTGGTAGGAGGGCAGCAAACCGCAATGCAATTTTTCCCAACATTGGCAATGAACCCTCGCTTTAGATTACGGGCTTTTTTTAATACAAAGGAGTAATTTACATTCAGCGAGGAAGTGATTTACCATATATCGCTACAGAAATGTTGACGGAAGTCTGAACAATATGTCCTAGCACCCCCGAAAATAGTATGGTCCTGTGTCTACATTAACATAATCTATGCCAGGATGTAATAATCACTATTTGATACTCCTAATTAATAAACGTGTGGAACATTGCATGCAAAACAAACAAAATTTTCTCAAAGTGTAAAGTATATTATGTTTTAATAGGTTTAAAATAAATTTAGTTGCCTAGAATGGTAAATAGAAATATACCGCCATAATAAAAATGGGAGCATCCACATCAAAGCAAAATGAATGTCGCTTCGCCAGCCACCAAAGAAACTTCGCGAAGTACACACAGAAAAAACAAGTACCCATAGAAAATACAAAGTGCCCATAGAAAATACAAAGTGCCCATAGAAAATACAAAGTACCCATAGAAAATACAAAGTGCCCATAGAAAATACAAAGTGCCCATAGAAAATACAAAGTGCCCATAGAAAATACAAAGTGCCCATAGAAAATACAAAGTGCCCATAGAAAATACAAAGTGCCCATAGAAAATACAAAGTGCCCATAGAAAATACAAAGTGCCCATAGAAAATACAAAGTACCCACAGAAAATACAAAGTACCCATAGAAAATACTAAGTACCCACAGAAAAAAACAAGTACCCATAGAAAATACAAAGTACCCATAGAAAATACAAAGTGGAATAAAAAATGCTAAGTGTACCTATGGGCCTTCCTAGTATTTGCCTTGGAGATTACCTTTCCATAGAACCCTGTATGTTTGATCACGTCATCCCAGCAGCCAATCAGCAAGGTGAAACTACTCCCACTTGATGAGAAAGTACATACTGGTCTGGTAGTTCATGTGTGCTAGGTCAACCCGTAACGGGAGGGGTCCTAATTCCGACCTATGTTCCATGCAAACGCACGTACCTTTGGTAATAGTTTATCTGACCAAAAACCCGCGCAACATGAACTATGATATTGACAGATTAATATCACAACGATTAAAGCTGCACAGCTGTATATTTCACTTCAGTGCAGCGCCTTGCACCCAAGCGTAATGGTTTACGAAACGTACGGCAGGTTTTTGGTCATTTTGCCGGTGGAACGTTCTATCGCAATAGGGGTGCCCTAATTCCGACCTAGTGTTTAACACAGGTCAATCTGGAAGAGAGTTTATAAATGATAATACACAGATTATGACTAAAACAATCCTACAACAGTTTTTCTG